TTCTTTGAAATGGCGAACACATTTCGACATTTCCGCTGTACTCCCACACAGTGTATCTGTTCCAGCAATATATGCACGTCCCGAGCGTATTTCAATTTTAAGCTGTCCTAATTGATGTACTCCTTCTTCTAATCCTAATGCTGACAATGCATCAGTAACTAGAACTAATCCTAAAATATAAAATTAAATAATTGCTTAAAAAATTTTTATATTTATTTTATATGAATATAAAATATATAATATAAAATTTAATTATTTATTAAATTATATATTATATTAAATAGATAAATTAGAATTACATAGATAAATATTATAATATAAAAAAATTCAAGTAACCTTATATATTATCATGATTTAAATAATTTCAAAAAAATCTAAAAATTGAGTTCAAGAATAAGAATGATTGAATAAATATACATATGTGTGGAAGATAAATAATAATAATAAAAAATATACCTTCAGGATGAGTTCTATGAGCTATACGTAATGCAGCTGGATGGGTATGAATGCCATCTGCAATTATACCATAATGGATAATTCTTCCAGGGAAAATTTGATCAGATGTTAAAAGACCAACTAATCCTGGATCTCTATGATGAAACTATAAATATAAATTTATTATTTATTTTATAATATTACATTCTTCATAAAACAGAAACTGATTCTCATATTTTATATAATTACTGGTAACATTGCATTAAAAAGATGAGTAATAAAGGATGCTCCACTTTTTACAGCCTCTTCTCCTTCTTTCAAATTTGCTACAGAATGTCCTAAAATATTTAAATTTATAATGATATTAAATTAATAGTGATAATTTATTTCTTACCAAGAGAAACTTTAATATTTCTTTTACATAATTCTATGATCACAGACTGAGTATTAGGAAGTTCAGGTGCCAATGTAATAAGACTCACATTTTCTAAACTTCCATAGATATCAATTAATGACTTGTAACCCTAAAATTCATATTGAGATAAATAATAAAAAATATTAATAAAAACCTAAATGTTTAAAATACACAATATCAAATGTACACATTGAAAATAATTGTAAAACTTGCTTTTTCAAATTGTTTTATGTGGCATTCTAAATGAGCTCCTTTTTTACATGGACTAATAAATGGTCCCTCTAAATGAATACCTAATATAGTTGCACCATGTTTTCCACCTTTAGTTCTCTTAATATTTGGAATTATTTTATGATAAGTTTCACTAGGTGATGTAACCAAAGTTGGACAAAATGATGTTACACCAAATTCTAATAATTTTTTGGCTACTTTATTAATTCCTTCTTGTACATTGTTAACATTATGTGTAAAATCTATGCCAAATCCGCCTAAAATAAATAAAATAATAATTATAAATTATAATTGTACATATAATAATTTTTACAATATAATTAAATTATTATTTATTATCTAAAATTAACATGATATTATTTAATTTTTATATAATGTTGTAATGTTTATTCAAAAATAAAAATTTCTTGATAATAATTTTAAAATTTAAAAAAAAAAAATTTGCAAAAAATGTAAATAAAATAAATTTTATATTTTTATTTTATTATTGATTTACCATTAATCTGAAGATCAATGTACCCAGGAGAAATTAACGCTCCATTACAATTGATTCTAATATTTGGTTTTATTTTTTCATCATAAAAAATTTTCTCTGGATTTACAATTTTCCCATCACGAACCCACAAATCTTCGTTAAAATTTTTCCATCACGTAAAATGCAACAATTATAAAACTGTTTTAAAATTTGTTGATCTTTTTGAGACATGTTAACTTCACAAATCATTCGCATCAAAATGCACAATTATCTTTGCTTAAAAAAAAGAAAAAATACTTATCAATACACTTCAGTATTGTATTATCGGTCATAAGTAAAATTATCATTCCGTTAAATTACAAAAGTCAAGTAGCAATGACCTGTAAATTTAATTATCATGCAGCTTCAAAGATGTCACTGAATGTGATTTCAATATATTTTTTATTCAGAAAATTGCATTTTATATTCATTGACATTTAATGTAAGAAAATATTTTTTAAAATATCTTTAAAATTATCTAAACTATATTTCTGTTGTTAAAGAAAAAGAAATATTAAAATCGATAGAAATATCTTAATATTAATTAATATTTCACTAAATAAAAAGTAATATTATCACAAATTAAATAATCTGTCTTTCATTCATAGTTTTCATAATTTTTAAAAAATGTATTAATTAAAAATAGAAAATAAAAAATAAATTTATTATATCTTTAGAAAAAGGACATATATAATTATATAATTATAAGATATTTATAAAAATATAATACATTTTTCTAGCAAAAATTCTAGATAACGAAATAAAAATAAAAGTTGATACATAAAAATATTTTATTTTTCAAGTTAATTTAATTTATCGTAGTATCAATTATCTAAAATCAAATATTTCAATGAAGTGTTTAAGAGTTTAAAATATTTATTTAAGTTATCGCATTAGATATACAAGATAAAAAGTTTAAAAAATTTCTTTTATAACATACATATCTCGATATATAATGGACTACTTATTATATTGCGATAAAATTTTAATAAATTCAATTATATATCCAAAATCATGTAAATACGTTTTTTTTAAATTTTTTATTACAGATTCGATGACAATCATAATACAGTAATATAATATTACTAATTGATTAATTGTATTTTTTCACATTATCTCCATTTCATTTTACTTATATATCTGAATCGATATGTTTGCATTATTTAATATCTAAAATTTTCAAAAATGTCCAACAATTTTATATTCAATAAATAATTATTTATAATTTTTAAATAATTCTTGTTTTTAATACAAAAAATAACACTCAATATAACAAAAAAAAATTCTTAAATATATATTTTTTAATACTTACCTTTTTAATATTATCAAAATTTACTTAAGTTAAATAGATAAATCTTAAATGCGAAGTATTTCGTGAAACTTTATAAAACTTATTATAAAGGTAATACATACAAGTTTGATCAGTTTCAAAATCCAGTATAATTCAAATTCATAACAAATTGAAATGAAAACAATTTAGTATAAAACCATATAAAAAGACTTTATGTAACTTAAGGGAATACTAAGAACTTAAAGGAGAATAACAATTTAAAAAAAATGAAGGGGGAGAGGGGGAGAAAGAGAGAGAGAGAGGAGGGAGGAGAGAGG